TAAAAAAGTCTAAGTTAGCATGAGTTGGCATGAACACGTCAATAGATGATAGAAATTAACAATGGAATTGTCGCACGTGACTTTTTTATCGTTAAATTTTGCTTTATTTCCCTAAATTCGAAAACATGAAGAATAAAAAATCATATATTTAGAAACATGAAGGGTAAAAATTCATATATTGTAATATGAGGGGTAAAATGCCTCAAATTCGAAAAGTTAAAGGGCAAACGGGTACCTTTCGCCCCCTTGTTATTAATTCTACATCCCACTTATAAATATAACGTGATATTGTTGTATTAATTAGCAACATATTCCACATCGGTAAATCTTACTATCACCCACAAATCAAATTATATTGCTAATTATTGCTTGCTAAAATCCGACATTTTAGTAGTGAATATTCAAACTTGAGATATTAAGTTTAATTGTGATTCTATTTTTGATAGTGTTAGAATAGCGGCATTTATTTTAGAATATTTACATTTATGTTAGAATATTATATTTACATTATAATTGATTATATACTTTTAAGTTAATTGGTTTTTTACTTAGGAATATTCTATTATATAAATCTACAAATAGGACTTTTATATATACAATGAAGATAAAAAAACAATAAACCTTCATTCAAATATTTCTCCTTCTTTTCTGCTTCTAATAGATAGGCACTAAGAGTTGGTGAGAGTGGGTGTCATTTGTAGAAATAGTAGAGGGATCTTAATATCGGGCTCTTTTTTTGTTTGGCATGGCAGTTCTCCTCATAATTGCTGAGGCTTGGCCACTCTTATCTGCTATAAAACACACTCAAAGACTTGGTGTTAGTAGAGCTTGTTTTGAATCTGATAATTGCATTGTGGTTAATTGTGTCTTGGACAAGCAAGCTGGTGTTCCTTGGGAGATTTCCTTAATAGTGAGGGCTATTAGAGAGAGGTTTTCATCTAAGCCTCAGTTTACCGTCCCTAATGTGTTAAGGCAATGCAATAGATTTCCAGATTGGGTGGCTGGCCATGTTTTGAAGGGTACGTAATTACTCATATTTATGGCCGCAAAGACCAATATTACATCCTTGCTTTTTTTTCTTCTGTTTTTTTTTTTTATTAATTTTGATTGTATAATGAAAGGTAAATATCTCTCATCCCTTATCTCATCATATTCATATATCATGCGACCTAAATTCAAAACATCTAACTTTTAACAGAAGAAGATAACTACTGAATTATTTAAGTCGTTGGTACATCCATACTTAGATTGGTTGGTAAGGAGATTGTGTAATTTGTTCCTGGATTATTTTGTAGCTAAGCTTAATTTGTATTCTGTATCATGTTCATTTAATGAAATGTGTTGCCTTTTCTAAAAAAATAAAAATAAAAATAAATAAAACACAAACAAACAAACACGTATTGAGATTCTTTAGCTTGAAACAAGTTACATTCATGGGATGAGCTAAGTGATGGCACACTTGTTACGGGCTAATTCTCATTTGCTGAGAATCAAGCATTTGGGTAAGCTCAAGCTATCTATGTAGTGGATGGAGCTGCCTTTTTCCATGGGGTAGGGGAAATGCATATGCCAAGTGTGGGGTTGCAATATGTGTACGTAGCATTCAACCAGGGACGGAGCTACCATAGGATAAGGGGGGGCAGCCGCCCCCCTAAGCTTTTGAAAATTGTTTAATGTAGTACATTAATTTTTAATTAGAATAAAATTTGTTTTTGATGTTTGAATTATAAGGACCTTTTTAAATTTAAAGAAAATATTTAGGAGTTACGCAAAAGAACCATTTCTTTTTTTATAATCAAATTTTAAGACAAATAATTTTATTTGGGTATGAAAAAAAAAATTTATATTACTTGTAATTTTTTGTATAATTTATATTTTATTAATTTAACAATTAGATTTGATATTCTAATTGAAAGTTCATTGATATCTGTAATCACTTCAAAAAGAAATTATATTTTATATGAGATTACTATTTATTTACTAGACTTGCCAAAAAAAAGGTGAAAAATACTTCAAAATTAAGATATTCTAATAAAGTATTATAAAAAATACTAATATATTTTTCATTTTTACTCTAAAAATATGCTAATTTAGTCTATTTAAATAATATAGTTTTGAAATAATTTTTTTTATAATTTTTTCTTGATCTGACTTATTAACATTTTTCTTATTATTTTGTATTATTTGTTTAAGGGTATTAAATCATATGTTATTCAAAAATAATTAAATATATTTAATTAATTTAAAGTTTGATAAATATGTTATAAGTAATATATTTATCCATAAAATTAGTGATTAATATAAACTTAATATAATTTTTTTTGTATGTAAAAATTATGCATCAAACTCAAAACCTATAACTAATAGTAGGTTCAAATTGAGGAGAATAGATGAAAGGGGAGAAAATTTTTTATTTTATTATTATTTTTAATTTAGTTATTTATCTAAATGAAAGTAGAGAAAGGAAAATTTTGGACTCCGCTCTCACTCCAAAGTCTGGCTCCGTCCCTGCATTCAAGTATTCAACTAGGACATTGACCAGGTGAATTGCCCTCGAAATTTGGTGAAAACAACATCAATGGCCCCTAAGCCCTAACAATTTATAATATTATCTAAAATATACACTACAAGCTGCATTTTCACCATCCAAATATTATTGAACTGCAAAACCACAAGAAATAGGATTCGCCCATATAATCTTATCATTAAGATTTTATTGCAAAACACATTTTTTCCTCTTCTTTTTTTTTTTTTTAATCTATGTATGTATACCAACTAATTATGCCCAATTTAAGACGACGAAAGACGTTGGTGAAATGAGATTCCCTTCAACCGTTGTGTTCCTATCAGGCCAAACGACCTTACTAGGCCTTTCGTACGTACTGGCATCACTGTTTTCCTTTTTTGAACAAGAGCAATTACACTACTGAGCAAGTGGGAGAGCTGGTTTGACAATCAACGGCTGGGCTTGAACCCAAAATCTAGATGCCACACCGCCTACCCAGTTGACTCATTCTCGAATCACCTTATCGCCTACATATAATATAGCTGGAATGCCCATGCTTTATGTTTAGCTTCTTTTCTTTCTTTTCTTTTTTTTTTCTTCTTCGGAAAGCAATGCTTTATGTTTAGATAAGTTCAAGGCTTTGGAAAAATTGGATTATGAGTCACTTCCAATGATAGGAAGCAATTTTAACTCAACATTTGATCATGAAAATGACAGCATAACCTTCTTCTAGCCGCCTTGCAAGGTTTATATATATATATATATATATATATCTTAAGTGCACAATGAAAGTCAATTATTTCATATTTTTTATTTTATCTCACTTGCATATCATACGACTCAAACTCAGGACCTCTTACATGTCATACGATTTGAATTTAGAACCTCTTACTTCTAACGGAAGAAATAACCATTGAATAATTTAGATCGTTGGCAACCGCAGTGCAAGCTGTGTATAAGTTTTCCTTATTCTACTTAATTCTTAATTAAAAATTTTAATTAGTAAAAAAAATCATATTTTCAATTAGAAAAGTTTTGAAAGAATATGTTCTTATTCATACAAAATTTTTAATCATACCATTGGTAATTTGATCTATTAGTTGAATTATTTATACTTTTAATCATAAGTCTATGGTTCAATTTTTAATTTTTACCATTTCAAAACAAAATTTCCGATTACATCAAATCCCTTATTTACACCATGCACAATTTTTTTTCACAATCAATATTTTTATACCAACGAGGGGTTGGATCAAGTGGTAAGCGGCTTGTTCCAACTTAAGCAAGATCTCGAGTTTGAGACCTTGTGTACGCAGCAGCCTCCGTTGGGAGACCTCCCCACCACAACCCGGTGCGCCACGCGGGTCGATCCGGATTAGTCGGGGTGAAACCCCAGATACCGGACGGGAAACCAAAAAAAAAAAAAATACTTTTTATAATTTTTACTCTTAATCAACATCTTCTATAATTTAAAACATGAGAAAAAAACCTCTAATTTACCAACAAAGTTAGGATGTAAATAGAGGGGTTTTGACTACTATTTTCTGAATTTTTTATGAATTTTAATTTATGAAAGTTGTTGACTGGGAGTAAAAATTATTGAAGATACTAACAACAGGAAAAAAAATAATGTATATAGTGTAAATGAAGAGTTTGACCAAAGTTTAAGCCTTCACATTCATCTCAAATTTAAAATTTAAAATTTAAAATTAGTAAAAGGAATAATACCTATCAATTTGACTTCTAAAAAATTAGAAAAAAAAAAATCACTGTCAAACTATTTAATTTTAATAGACTTTTATTAAAAAACTAAAATGTTTATTTTTAAAATATAAATTAAACTATTTTTTATCTTTTCTTATTAGATTATATTAGAGAAATATAATTTTAAAATAAATTTTTTCTTAATTTATAAAAAAAAAAGGGTAAATAAATACTAATTTCATCAATAAATACCAATTCCAATAAATTTTTGTTAGTAAAAGCCCTAATTTGTGATGAAAATTGAAAATTATTATTTTGGGTCAAGTACTCCAGTGGGCCATTAGCCCACTTATATAATATATCACATGCTCAAACAAAATGGCATCGTGCCTCATGACCTGTTTGGTCATTTACCAGCCTTGCACTGGCTTGGTGGGCCGCCCGGCAACCAGCATACCGCCAATGAAAAAGCAAAAGGAGACGAGCAGTGCTAGGGGCACTCGCCTCTTGCACTCTCTGGCCCACACTTCCCATTTCAATGGGCCACGTAAGCTCGCTTTAAGCCTTTGGACTGCACCTTTCACCAACCAAAATCACGTGGGCCAATAAAAGTGAAAGTGTTGGCCGGAGAGTGCAGGACGCGAGTGCTCCTAGCATTGCTTGAGGAGACAATACCAACCCCTCTTTTTTTTTTCGAATTTAGAAACTTCCTGGGGCTAGCTAGACGTGACGGTCCAATCAGAAGCCACGAAAAAGATTCCCTTGCGAACGTATCCAGCACAACAACCAATCAGCGAAAATATCTGAATTAACGGTTATTTTTTAATTAATTTCACGGGACATTTGATAATTATATTAAATTTTAAATAATTTAAAATAACTTAATCCTATAAAAAGACTTTCTTAATATTTTTTTTTTCATTTATAAAATTTAAATTTAAAATTTTATTTTAAAAAATTAAAATTTTTTTATCTTAATTATACAATAAAAAATAACTATTTCTCATAATTTATTATACTCTATTCATATACTATACAATCTAAATTCAAAATTTTGTACTTAAAAAAAATCAAATGAAAGATAATCACTGAGCTAAACTCCTTATCTCGTTGATAAATCAAATTCTTTTCATTCATGGAGTGAACGGTTATGATTCAATCATTAACATGGTATTTTCACATGGACGGCTGATATATTTTTCCAAAGAAAAAGAACACCAAAACTCAAATGCTGACGTGTCTCCCGGATTCGAACATTCTGGAATTGTAAACCATTCACGCTATATAAGGCTTCGCCTTTCCCCGCTCTCGACAACTTGAAACCCTAGCTGTTTGGGGCTCTGTATTTTTATATTCAATTTCGTTTTTTTGTTTCTTTGTGTTCTTCTCGTCAACAAAAGTAGAGAGGCAATGGCTGGTAAAGGAGAAGGCCCCGCCATCGGAATCGATCTAGGAACTACATACTCTTGCGTCGGAGTTTGGCAACACGATCGTGTTGAGATCATCGCTAATGATCAAGGAAACAGAACAACGCCGTCTTATGTCGGCTTCACCGACACTGAGCGTCTGATCGGCGATGCGGCCAAGAACCAGGTCGCCATGAACCCGACGAATACCGTCTTTGGTAAGCTGTCTATTCTCCTCGACTTTCTCTTTCTTATGCAGCCTCGTTTTGGATCTAGCAAGTTTAGATCTGTTATGTTGAGTGGATCCGAGTCATGGTTACCTGTTACTGGATGTGTGGAGTGTATTCGTTGTTGTTCGTGCTTCTATATTTGCCTGTTTTATGCTGTTTGCTTAGACTGTTATGCTGGATCTGTAATGGTTTTGGTATTCGTTTTACATGATGTTTTTGTAGTTCTAGATCTAGGTTAATGTAAATTTTATAGTTTTATATGTAAAAGAGAGGCATGCAATCTCCAAACTGTTGATATTTGGATCTGTGATCTGTACGTGTTAATGCTAGTTTAGATCTCTAATATAGCTTGTTTGATTGTAGGTTTGTATCATAGGTGGCTAATTTTTCTTTTTTTTATTTTTATTTTTTATTTTTTTACAAGGGTAATGGTTAGGAAGTTAATGTGAATTAATTGTTAACAATTGGTCCGGAACATTCCACCCCTTAAATGAGACATGCGGC